GTATCTTAACAAGTTCTAAATCATTATCATGATAACCTTCGCGAATACCACTTACAGCTCCCTTATTTTCACTAAGCGTGATGTTTGGTGCTGTATCTTCATCATTACCAGTTAGCTCGAAATAGACTCTATTCCAAATATAAATCATAAAATACATAGAGAGAAAGCATAATAAAATAATTACATCAATTAAAAATAAAATGAAAAGACTAGATAGACACATAAAAGAAAATAATTGAATAAATGAATATGGATCAAAGGATCCAGCTTAAGGGAAATGGATCAAATGATCCAATAACCAGAAACTGGTTGTGGGGAAAAAGAAAGTGCCCCGAGAAAAATATACTTTCAGCTAGATGAGCAACGAATATTCTACCCGACCAATTCCTAAACTGTGTAGCTAAAATGGGAGAAAAAAATGTTATTATCATCAAACATAATTGAAATATCAGTGATTTAATAATACTGTTTCATATTTTAGTAAATGTTGGTAAATGCCGGGAAAGAAAAATAAATAATTGTCGTTGGGTGGAAGTCGTTGTCGTTTAGAATAGTTTCAGGTGTTGCATGGGATCTTTGAGTTAGTCAAGAACTAACTAAAAAGATTATTTTGAGGGTCTTCTTTATGAGGCTCAATAAAACGTCCCAGTCGCCAACTTTCATTTAGTGGTTTCAATGAAAGCTTGTTCTGAATTAAGGCTTCAGGCTTTGGATTAATGGGTGTGTCGACTTGGGTTTTCTTACTTCTGGTGTTCACTCTACTCTGAGTTTTCTGGTCTGAAGTTGAAGGGTTTTCGGTAGCTGTTCCTATGTTTTGTGTCTCCCTGGTCTATGTCTTACATCTTGTAATTTATTATTTTAATAGTCGGGACTTGTGTGTATTGGTCTTTCATGGTTTTAACTTCGTCTGTTGGTATTTGCTGGTCCGTAGTGGTGATGTTACTGGCGTGGAACGGTGTGTTGAGCTTGCCAGTGTGGGTTGTTTTCCTTTGCTCGTTTGTTATATTTCTCGGAAATGGTCATTCGGCGCGAAAATTCAAATATTCCAAGAAGCCTCCATGTTGCACCAGTTTATATGTTGTCTAACTGGAGTTTACTGCTACTTTCATGAATTTTGTTGGTTCCCTACTTTTTGGATGGTATCCTATGTACACTGAGTGGTCACAAGTAAATACACACCTAATTTTTCGTCATTT